TTTTTTTTTTTTTTTTAGAGACAGGGTTTCACCACGTTGACCAGACTGGTCTCGAACTCCTGGCCTCAAGTGATCCACCCACTTTAGCCTCTCAAAGTGCTGTGATTACAGGCATGAACCACTGCGCCCGGCCCTGAAGCATTTTTCTCAAAGGCCGCCAGTGAGATAAACTAGATTTGGCGTCTTCTCTCCTGGGCCAGGGATCTCTCTACAAGAGCCCCTGCCCCTCTGTAAGGAGGAGGAGGGAGAAGAGAAAATGTAAAGGAGGGAGATCTTTCCCAGGCCCCACCATTTCTGTCACTCACATGGACCTAAGATAAAAGAATGGCCAAACCCTCACAACCCCTGGTGTTTGAAGAGTTCCAAGTTGAAGGGAAACAAAGAAGTGTTTGATGGTGTCAGAGAGGGGCTGCTCTCCAGAAAACTAACATTAATTTCTTTTTCCCTCTGAGTTCTGTACTTCAACCAGCCTACAAGCTGGCACCTGCTAACAAATCAGAAATATGACAATTAATAATTAAAGACTGTGATTGCCACCAATGAGGCTCAGACTGTATTTGTCCCCAATACCTTCTGTCTCCCAGACAGCCCTTTCATGGCTTTCTTTTCTTTTTCTTTTTCTTTTTTAAGACAGGGCACTCTGTTGCCCAGGCTGAAGTGCAGTGGTGCAATCACGGCTCACTGCAGCCGCTACCTCCTGGTTTCAAGTGATCCTCCCACTTCAGCCTCCAGAGTAGCTGGGACTGCAGGCATCCACCACCACACTGGCTAACTTCTTGTATTTTTTTTGTAGGGACAGAATTTCGCTATGTTGCCATTGCAGGTCTTGAATTCATGGGCTCGATTGATCCTCCCACCTCTGCCTCCCAAAGTTCTGGGATCACATACACCAGCCACTGCATCTGGCTGCCTTTTGCTTTGGTCCTGCTTTTAGGCACCCCGGGACCCCCTTATCTGTCAAGATCATTCCTAAGTTCTGGTGCTAAACCATGTCATATCCTATAAGGACTGCCCAAGCTGTCTGTTGGCAGCTAGCCCCCCCATCTCATCCCTAGACTCTTCCACAGGGCTTCTGTGTGTGGAGAGTTCTCTCTGCAAGAAAGTTCTCCCCAGTCTGCCATCCTGCCTGATGTGAACCTTTGCCTCCACCCAGGCCTTAAACATAATGCTGTGGATGCTATGAGCTTCCCAAGTCTACACTTTCCTGGACTCAGACTTCAGTCCTCTTTTGGTCTCCCCTCCAGCCCCACTAACTGCAGTACTCAGTCTCAGTTCCCAGGCCCTGACCTGGGTCAGAGCCTTGGGCTTCTATCCAGCCAGAAGAGGGGGCATCAGAAATGTTTATTTCTCTCTTCTGTAATGGGGATGCATAGCTTCTGGAATGACAGCAAATCGTTCCAGGAGGATCAAAATGACAAGATGTGTCAGAACCTACCACTGTCTTACCCTTTCAGGAAGCTGTTCTCTGACTCACCAAAGGGCCATGTTTATGGTAGAGGATTAAGGTGCAACTTCTGTATGAATGCCAATAACCAGCGAGCCAGTCCTGAGCTCGTGTAGCCTATCCCAGTCCTTTGAAGCAAAGGTCAAGAAATGTCACTATAGCCAAAGGCGATCTTATATTATTCCTAAGTGATATTGTCAATACAGCCCAAAGTCCATCTGCTCCTCA